TGAAAGAGGAAACAGCAAATCAGGAAGTTCCCTTTACAGAAGATTAGCTCTTTCTCCTGCCTGTCTGTTGTGGACACCATACTGAAATAGGCATTTTAGGCAGCAGGCTGGAGGTCAGAGAGGGCCACTGCTCACTGACCAGATTAAGGAGTTGGGGGAAGGATAGTAGGGAAGTTTTCAAGGCTGGCACTGCCTACAAAAGGAATGGGAATGTGAAGACTGAAAAGAATTTTTCCTTAGAGATTCGAGAGTTGGAGTTCTTTAAGGAGGGATCTTCTGTAGAATGGACATAATATTGTTAAGTTCAGAGCTGCATGAGAAACACACATGGTGGTCAAGTGAAATGATAAGATGAAAGTGAGTCCACAAAGTCTGGAAACAAACGCTTCAGGGTATGAACAGCATTCCTTATGAGTTGCAGGTCAGCCGCAAGTCTGAATACGTTAGAGTGATGCCTCATGTAGCCACAGTTTTGGTTCAGTTCTTTGGTCTGTCAAGAGAATACTATGCTCTCAGATGTTTGTACTGATGAGGCCTTTCTTATACTTCAAAAGGTGCTATACAAGGATCGGGTTTTCAAATTCATCTCTCACTCCACCCTGAACAGCTGCTAAGGGGTAGATAAGGGAGACGTTATAAAACATAGATTTAATTAGTTGGAGCACGTTCCAAAATCAAATTAATACTTACAAAATTTGGTCTGTACTTCACACTAAAGATAGAGCTGCAAACAGTTTACATATACTTATGCCACAAAAACTGTAAAGGCATGAGTAGTATTTGTCAAAAAGTCTGTAAGCTCTTCAGAAGAGTCATAAGCATACAGCTGACTTGCTGGGACTCCACAATAAACTATTAATAATGTATTAAGTATCCATTAATCATTAAGTCCTCATTGATTTTTTATGAGTGTACTCTTAAAATCTATACCCAGGCTGTGAGTTTGAAAATTTCGTAACTGTTTTTGAGAAGCTGGCCAGCAGCTCTTGTTACTCCTCCACAGAAAAAAGATGAAGACCCAGAATACTGTTTTCAGTCTTCAGAAATCCAGTCTGTGGGCTCAGAAACCCATTGCTGTGTGGCAATGAACGGGGTTTAGCAATTTTTAATTTGGGGTTTAGCTGAAGGGAAACAAAAAATCCAATTAACATTTTTGCTCATGTGAGTCTGATTTTGTTGAATGCTGAAGGATCACTGGGATGGTGGTTAGAATACTTTTGACTAAATTACATTTTGTCTAAATACAATGCTCCATCGAAGCCAAAATATTTCTGAGATTTATCAGATTAAACGAGGTTTCAGAGTGTTGTACTGCATTCCCTGAGTACTTCTGAGGGTTAGGACACACACTTGTTTAAGTCTCACCAGGGAGAGAGGACAGTAGAAAAGCCTAGATACGTGGGGACTGGAAAGGGGGAAAAAAAAGGGTTCTCCACAATTTGTTTGGAAAAAATATCTGAAAGGTTTCATATTGGTTCCAATGTAGTATAAAAATAAATGTAAAAACCTCAAAATCTGTTCTCAAATGGAGTTGTTATACTACAGGCAGCTGTAATCTCTGGACTGAAAATAGCCTTGCCTGGGAAGCTGACATCAAGATTAGTTTTGGAAAGTGTGGTGACACCAAAAAAAAAAAAAAAAAAAGATTATGCTTATTCCTTTATCTAGACAATGGCTGCACAGGCAATGAAGGCAAATGGGATCAGAGAATGACGAGAATTAAAGTTTCACGCTACCAGGCCATCCACAGTAGGTATTTTAGCAGCTATCTCAAGTATCCTTTAATTCTGGAAAGATTGGGCTGTTGAAGACTGTATCAGAGTGGGGAATCCCTAAGACCACAGATCAATGCTTTGAAGAGATCTTAGCTCCAGCAACGATGCTAACAGTTTTTAAATCTCAACGTACCTTTAGAAATGAGAAATTAGCAGAAGACAGAAAAAGGACCATATTCCTACATCTCTGTCATGAAACATCAGGCAGATGCTGAGTTCCCTTATAGCCTCAATAGAGTGTGCTTGGATAATTTTAATTACGCATACACTGCTGACTAGCTTGCTCTTTATGTATTTATTAAATATGATTTAAAATAGTTAAAACTATTAATATGTTTATATCATGACAAATCACGACTAATAAATTTAAACTGCATAATTCAAGTGATATAAAATTAAGGCTTCTGGTTATTCTACTGATTTTTTCTAATCATACACAAAAGATCACTTGTATTCACAGCACTACAACATGACACAAAGGGTATTTCATCTTACTTTATCGATCCTTTCTTCATACAGTTGTGGAGACTAATCCATAATTTGGCTTGCTTTCACTGGGGAAATGCAGGGCACACTTCCACAGCTTGGCCAGTCCATACAGCAACTACGTATAGCAGTTCAGTTTCAAATAATAAAAAAGACAGACCTCCATGCTAATTACTGCTCAAAATACATCTAAAACTAGCACCAGCAGGAAGCAGACTCAAATGTCATTACTAGAACAGGTTTCCGGTCTTGTTTCTATTAATCGCCATTGGGCTGGTTCTGTCTAGGCCACACAAGGTTAATCTAGAACTAATGATACGGGATCACTGAATACTGTCTAATTTAGGATGGCACCAAAGTAGGTTACATCATCACACTGGAGATTCCATTTGTCAATACCTGTAAAATTTTTAATTCAAATCACCACTTCTGGTCAGTTGCAAGCAAATTTGCAGTAAGATCTCTTGCTTCAAGGTTAACCAGATGAATTTGATGCAATACTCTTCCTTTCTCCATGAACAGTGAATCTTTCAAGCAATACAAGCAAAACTATAGGCGTAAAACTGTTCACTTTTCCTGGAAAGCTGAAGTTCTAATACTTTGACAGCATAGGCATTAAAAGAAACCTAGGGACAGCTACCCATTTGCAAAAAAAAGATAGTTTGTGGCTATGACTTTTGACTCATAATATTTTTGTGAATCTGGGTAGGTTACCTCATCAAGCGTTTCCATTTCTTAGCTGTTTAGATAAATAAGTTTTTAAACATTTTCATCCTCTCTAGGTACCATTGACATTACTGAAAAATATTTTACATGCAGCTCTGTACTTTAACGTTTACCTTATTCCAAGTGAGGCAGGACACGGGGCAATTCAAATCTTTCCCACACTGAATAATTTGCTCTGTTTATTCTTCCCATCCTGTCTAAACATAGCAGCAAGCGGAAGAGGTAAAGAGCTGCCCAGTGAACAATACTGCTGCTTCCCATGACAACCCTAAAAATGCCTGATCATCCTACAAACCAAATTATAAACTCCTAGAACCCAACAATTTTAGCAGTACCAGAGGCTGCTGCATGTGGCTTTGCCTGTTTCAAGTGCTGCTATACAGCAACCAGCTACATATACCACCTGTTTCTTAATGGATGCAACTGGATGCAGAGGTAAGTGGTGTTTCAGTCGTGTTGGAAAGTGGTCATTATGCTTGAAAAGCTGCCCAAAATTATGCTTGGGTGGGAGCAGCAAATGTTAGTTGCAAGAAAATGCAGTGCAGCACAACCGCATCATGCTGATCCTTTGCCATATCTATGTTTGAGAGGGAAGTGTATGAAACCGCTTCATAGAAAGACTCAAAGGAAACAGCCAGAAAAAACAAGGACAAACTACCTCAGTTCGTATTTTTCCAAACATCGATTGTATCATACAGCTACAGTGATCTTGCTTGCAGTTGCAGCGCTACAAGTGGATCACACTTAGGACAAAATATACGTACTTATATGGTATCACATTATATAAATACTGCCAATTTATTTCCCTTATTAGTTCAATACCCTATCATCAGAGTCTCCTTCACTGGGTTATCCCAATTACGTTCTCAGAAACTGCAAATTCACAGCCTAAATTATTTATTCAAATCATGTATTTTAAAAAAAATTTTAAATACTTAAAAGTTTCAGAAAAGGGAAAGAAAAATGCTTATATATTTATTTTAAGAAGGTGAATGAATCAAACACATATCCAAAGGCATGAGGCCAGCATACTGAGATAACACTACTTGTTGAAGAAACAGCAGCTGGTAACATGTGCAAATGAAATACAACTATTCAATGTGTAGGCTGTGAAAATAATTATCACAATGGGAAAAAAAAGAGACTTTTTGCAAAATGTAAAGATAAGCCTTTCCCCCCCCCCCAAAGTCTTGGTGTTAGTTCTTAATAAAGGATTTCAACATACTAGTTATTACCTGATTCGCATACTATGGAGCCTGGCTTCAGTTCTAACATCATGGTGATTATAGAGATGTCAGTGGAATACAGAATCTGCGTCCTGTGAGGAAGATTCATAGTCCACAGTTCTGGAGTTGGATGAAGAATAAACACCCATCCTCCTTTACTGCAGGTCACTTTGGAGCCATATTTCTTGCCTATGAGGTCTGTGGAATGCCGGATGACTCCATACTTAGTCTGAGTTACACTGCCATGCTGGACTTTCACAGGAAACATGGATTCGTGGCCCAAGAACACAATAGCTGTGTCACCATCCTTTATTGTATCTCCATATTCAACAAAACTCATTGTGATGGTCTTGTAGTTGGCTGGTGGTTGTCACCTAGAAGAGAATAAATATGGCAAGAGTTTTGCAGGATCGCGATGGAGCTGAAACTACACACATAGAAAGAAGTAATTTTATTTTCCCCAAGACAGACAAGAACACACTGTGCAAATAAGATGTTAGCGAGAGAACTGTATGAAATTCAGGGACCTCCCCCTCGCTGCACTCTTGATTCAATTAAAATAAATTGAAAGATCCCACAGATTTTAATACAACCAGTATTTTTTCCATTTTATGGTACATTTTAAAGAAAATTTAGGAAATACATGATAATTTACTCAGCCTGCTCCACAATACTACTGAGACACTTGCAAGGTAGCATCAATTTCAGTACTCTGTTCAATTCCAGTTCAGAAGCTTTCAGAGTATGTTGTTAAGTAGTAACTTGTATTTCCATCTGCTGGCTTATCTCTTGGTGATCTACAACATAAGAAAACTGTTACTTGCCTGGATATCAGTCGCTGGTTATTAGGACCACTAATGAAAGTTCACTTGAGAGTTTTCCAAATGAAGGTTCAGAGATAGGATAAAGGAAGGATCTGCATTAATTTATGCATAGATTTGACTAACTACAAGGAAAAAATAATATTGTGGCCTTTAATTTGCTATTGGGGGTGCAAAGTAATGGTCTGGGAAGTGATCTGTGCTGCAACTAAATGTAAACAACCATTTGCAAGCTAATGCCAACAGATGTATCACTTCAGCCTCAGAGTCTCTGAGCTGTTTAGAGAATTACAATTAAATTGTGTTGTCTTTGAGAAGACAATTTAGGAATGAGAAGGCATCTTACAATGAAACCTGTCATCGCCTTTCAGATAAGGCAGCTAACTATCTAAGCTGAGGTTGATCAATTGGTGGAAGGAATTCGCGTTTAGTGAAGTAATGGTAATCCCAAAGTTAGAAATTAAAGCCTATGACAGAAGGCTTTGAAAGTCAGATTTCTGGTGCTTCTTCCATGGCAGAATTAAAAGCAGCATTACTTTTAGTTTCAGAATAATGACTTGATTCCAGTGCTTTTGTATTGACTATGTAACAGCTTAGTCCTAACTTCATCATTTTCATTAAAAATTTTTATTTCTCATATTCTACTCTGTTTTTGTTGACTAAACTTATTGTAGTTCAATTTGTTGTTAAGCAGCTACATTTAGAACTTTTTCCACTGCAGTCACAGAGACTGATAAACAGATGTGCTTGTGGCAAAAACTTCCAAAGCTTATGACATGCTTATTGCATAAGGTATTCAGATGCCAAAGCAGAATAGGCCTGTCTGGACATACAGTGAAATAGTAAGAAGGGCATCCCGTGGATTCCAAAATGTGTACAGACTGGACTTTGTGAGATAGTACAAATGCTTAAACGTGTTTTATAGCTTGTAGCACGTTCTGATTATATTCATGTTCTTAATTTTTCATAAATGACACTTGTAGTTCTTATTCTAGACACTATTCATGCAGCATAGTTTTCAGCTCTTAGCTAGAACAGTACTATTTGAAAGAAGCTCGACTGTAACCCATTTCTTTCACAGTATTTTGACTATAGTTACACCCATGTGTAAAAACAACATTCCTGCAGCATGTCTGCAGGGACATGGAGAGAGTTATTCTCCTTTTGATTACACAAATTGGCTGCCAGTTTCTTTGCCTTCCCTTGAGCCGCTACACAGCTAATTGTCACAACAGTGTATGCTGACACCCCAAGTGACGGATCTCTTGGGCTCAGATCTCACTTGGCACATTATATTCATACACTTGAGGTAAATTTGGGGTCTGTGAGAAGTTTTGGTAGTTTCTTTGTCTCCTATAGCAAGGAGCACAGTGATCTACAACCACTCATTTTCATTAATTTTCTATCATTTTCCACTCCCTACCAATGCAGGGCCGCAGGCACTGTTGCTTCCTCTGTCTCCTTGACTCTCTGGGTAGCACACAGATGTCTTGGTACAGCATGGCTTTTGCCACACGGTGCTGTGGAGAGGGAGTGGAACGGAAGGTGAGGCAGCAGCAAGGGGTTAGGACTTTTCTGTGGGTTTGCCTCAACTTGGCATCTCCCATGACTGTAGCAACCTAAACTGAATGACCCAGGCGATCCCTCACAGCCTCGCAAATTAAACCACTAAAATGATTCTGTGTTCCCTTCAACCAAAGCCCACACACACCTCTCCCTCTCCTGACCAGCGTCCACACACACCTGGCAGGCTGCCTCTTCCATCTCCGAGAAGCCTGGCTGCTTGACAGGGCAGCAAGGGAGCCTCCCGAGGAGGAGGAGGCAGGCTTAACTGTCTCACCTCC